ATTGATATTGATATTGATATTGATATTGATATTGATATTGATATTGATATTGATATTGATATTGATATTGATATTGATATTGATATTGATATTTTCACGAGGGTGGACGTTCCTTTTATTATTAAGTAAAATCAGACTGCCCAGCGGATATCGAGCCTATTAGCCCTATTTCATCGAGAAAAGTTGTGTTAAACGAATAGAACCAATCAAATAGCTCGAGTAGTGTAAATATTAAGTAGGGTGCATACGTTATGTCATGTTATGTTATGTTATGTTATGTTATATTATATTATGTCCAGTTTTGTCATGTTACATTAAAGGCTTAGCAGATTATCAGGGTTCGGTAAATATGTGTGTATTTTTCTTGCAACACCGATCGACACGATTGCATGTACATATCCATACAGAAGCTATAGCAATAAAATGTTATACTCGTGCGCTTGCGCTTCTGTGCACATTCGCGCCTGCGTAAAAATAATACAATTATCGATATTCCGAATTTTGTGCAGTAAATTACGCTCTTATTTGTCTATTGCGTATAGATGGAAGAACAACTCCCTCCGACTTTCTTAACTTGCAGTACAGTCGAACGATTTCAAATGAAATTGTACCTGTAACATTAATCGACTACTTGCGCAGGAGAACTTTACAAATGAGATATTCTTAATACTTGACTAATGAAACGAATAGTTGTCATAACAGGTAATTATAGTGTTCGTCTTGTATCACTGCTGTACGAGTGCCGCAAATTAGACAACTGAAAATTTTGATTTTCCTTGGCGACATCTTGGCTCGTTGAAACAAAGAACCGTGTGAATGTTAATGAGAATACCGCGGTGCTCGTTGCGTCACGCTCCAGTAAAAAACTTTGTTTAAACGACTTACCTCCGAGGACGTCAGGTAACAGAGCCTCGAATCTGTGCTCTCCAAAGAGGCTTGTTGAACGATTCCGTATCTGCCCTCTCTGTCGGACATGTAGTCGGATCTCACGCTGTCCTGTCTGTCAAAAGTACCTCTGTGAAACAACAAAGAAAATGTGTTCCGTTTAATTAGCAGCAGCGACGAGCGCGGATACCGGAACACGCGCGGTTGCGGCGCGAATTCTATACAGAAAAATGTGGGGACGCAAAGGCGAGGATTGAAAAGTTATCGAGATTAGTCTTATCGAGAATCGTTTGTTTCCGAAACGAACGAAACAAACGAAGCAAACGAAGCTAATCAACTGAAACGTTTCTCACCTTTGTTCCAAAGAATCGGCTCGGTTTGACTTGTATCCGCTGTCGTTTAAACTGCCTTCGTGCCTCAACGATGGAAGAGAGTCCCACGGAGACTCTCGTTTGTGCCCCGAATAACTCGGATTTATCGAACTAGAAGCACCAGATCCGAGAGTCGAGCTTCCCGATTGCCATCCATCGGAATGTCGAAACCACTGCGCGCGAGCGGATTCTCCGATGCAACTGGCGCATCTTAAAATGTCATCGAATTCGCGTGTTGACGAATCATTTTCAGGTAGCTAGACCTCTTGGGGGTTCCAATCCACGTTTACAAGTCCAATGGAAATGTAATATATGTTACCTAGAATTGTAGTCGCTCAGATATCCACGATCTCGATCAACGTCTCTGTCCCTTTTTTCTCGTACCATCTCGTTGCGATCGCTGTAATAGCCGTCTCTGTCTTTGCTGTTTTGCCTTTCGTTGCAATAACGATAGGATAGCGGTAAAGTCGAGGACTTGTTGTTGGAGCCAGGCCCTGAGAAATGCGATAAACGGGCATGGGTTGTAATCGATCGGTGCGTTTAAGTAGGCAGTGGGGTGGTGAAAGAAAAATTTCGCTAATCAAACTTACGTCGTCGCGAAACGTGAGGCGTGCGCGGCACGTTCAGTGGTATGTTTTCCGCCAATTCTGTAACATTCGAATATTCGTATTTCGCGTATTTCCAAGCAGTGCGTGGAAACAGTAGTTGGCAGTGGGACGTAAAGAGTTCTCGGACCGAAGAATAAATCAAAGACTCACCTAAATTTTCCATACTTTGCGTGAGGAGCGCCTCGAAGGTGCGCAAGCTGTAACTCTCGGCGTCCATACCCTTCTCTAACGTGTTCCGCAAGTGCATCTCGTATTCGAGTAGTAGTCTGCTGGTCGGACTGCCAGGAGTCGAAACAGATTGCATGCTTTGCTGTTGATATGTCTGAACACCGTTGCAACGTCGCGAATTACAATGACTCGGTTGTTCCATGTCCGAGTTACCATTCGACGAGCTCGGTGTGGTCGCGTAACACTGGTTATCGAAGATGACATTATCCGATGGCGGCGACATGTCACCTGTGCACCGATTACGTTCCGAATCTAAATACGTCCTGCTTCTGCCGCCTACGACAGACAGGTGCCTCATGCAGCAATTCGAAACGACGGTGTTGAACGGATAATATCGTTAGTTTCCTCTAATCGAGGTGGCTCAGCGATGCGTCGACATGCGCCATGCCCCACGCGCCATGCGCCATGCACCCCTGTTCACCGATCCTGAACGCACCCCATGTCAGTTATTTTTACATTCCGGTATTTCCCTTTCCCTTACCCTTTCATTTTTAAATGCTTCCAACGTTACACGACATTAAGAGGCTCGCGTCCGTCCGCTCACGCGCGTGCTCGCAACTCATCCTCTCCATAAAATTCCCACGGATCAAACTATACTTTTAGAGTTTAATCATTTTCGCGTCGAGACGGCGACGAATTCTCTCTTTTATTCGACGGAACAACGATGCAACTAAACGTATTAGATCAACTCGTTGCAGTCCAACAGGTTAGTTGTCAGTTGATTATTAAAAGGCAGTAAGTTCGAGTTACATTGTCGTTGTATTATCGTTGTATTGTCGTGCCAATGTCGCGCCAATGTCGCGCCAGTATCGCACGCGTGTCCAATCTACGCGGACCTAAATGTCCCCCATTTATTCTGGCCGTTGCTAGTCGGTTCGTTCCGCGTTTCACACCGCAGAACTTTTATTGAAATGACATTTTCGAAACGCACCCATTCTACACAGTATACATCGTATAAATCGGGTATCCGATATATATATATATATATATATATATATATATATATATATATATATATATATATATATATATATATATATATATGTCTTACACGCAGGCACGCGCGCACGCACACATCGCGTAGAAGAATCTGTCGTACATACCGGTATATTGATGTCCCATGTCATGCACGCTTCTGGAAGCCTGGAATTTGTTACTGTACGGTGCCCGATATGGATGAGCATAATTTTCATTCTCAGTCTCCTGCATAACGTATTTCTGGTTGTTATTGCTCGGATGGTAATGATAACTGTGATGGCTGTGCCTTTTTCTGGTCATCTCCGGCGATGTGACTGGACTATCGATGCTCGATATTGGTTTCAACATCCTCTTCAGAGTATTAGAATCTAAACTGATTCCACCGTTCTGCGCGTTCTCGATCCTCATGTCGTCCGTGCTCTTGCTTTTCGACTTCTTCGCACCATGATTGTTATTCACTATATTAAAGATATTGCCGTTCTGAATTTCCAAGTCGGTATAGTCGGCTGACTTTGTGTGATGCAATTGCTCTTTTCGCAAAGACTTGTTCTGCAAAGTTCCGCCGGCTTGAGTGCCTTCCGATTTCAGCATCTCAGTACCATTCTGCTGCGTAGCCGTATCTTGATTTTGCTTCGGAGTTTTCTTCGGAGAAACCAAAGCGCCTTTCTCCTCCGGACTGTCAATCTGCAACCCGTTGTGAACAATTTGTTCGTACACGCCGTTTCTTACTGTACACGCGAGATTACCTTGTATCGTTTACAACTCTGAAGCGACCTGACCTCGCATAGACTAAAGGACATTAATTTTCGAATATGCAAACAGCACACCTAACCGAGTGGGTACCGGAGGGGTACCTGTTTAGACGAGGAATCGAGTGTAAGGTGCATCAGATTACGAGTACAGTGAACGAACGGCGGACGATTAAAGTGACAGTCTTCACACTTGCCTGGGAACCAACGGTAACTGTTTCGATGCCAACGTTCGCTGTCTTTGGCGTCGTCTGGCAGGTTTCGTTCTGCTTTTCCTTCTGCTTCGTCGAATCGCCAGCGATTTTCGTTGTTTTTCCCGGTGTCGCTGTCGTATTGTTCACGTTATCGTAAAGAGATGCGCTAGACGTTGCTGCCGTTATTTTCTCTCGACCCGGCGTCATTTCCATCTCCGTGGATCGTACCACGGTACGCGGAAGCGTGGAGGTAGCTGCGTACGCGACAGATACAGAACAGTACAGAATAATAGCTAGAGAAGAATAGGTGAACGAACACGTAATCGACACACCGATATTATATCGGTCGAATTACGTGTTGTTACGTGCACATTCGAGTTTCATTGGGCATTATTTTCGTGCGTCGCGTCGCAACAAACATGTATACGTATCGTACCGTAGAAACCTCGGTATCTGGCTTCCTGATTTCGAAGTCTGGCAAATTGTTCCGGGGTCATACAGGTACATTGAGGCTCTCTGGATCTGCTCGGCGACGCTGGTGTCGACAAAGGCTTTCTTCGCGTTTTGATCTTCTGCTTGTTCGGTGGTTCGAGCTTCAACGAGTAAGAAGAGGTCGCTTTCCTTGAAATCTTGAACGAAGGTGACTGTACGAAAAATTAACTAATGACTGTAAATCACTCAAGTCCGACCGAATCGATTTTGCTATCCTCAAACCCGTAGTAATCGCGTTACGGGCACGCCGTTTCGTTCAAAACACAAGCATCCCGAGTTGATTCCTTTGCAACGCGGCCAGTGCAAACGCAAACAAACCACGCTTGAATAAGCATAATCCAATGACAAAGTTCAGCCGTTTTCCTTTCGTAAGCTTAAAGCGTCAAGCGCAAAGCGTAAAGCGCAATGCGAATCTATACAGATATTTCCTGAGAAATACGCAACCCTGATAAATCGGTAAGATAGAATCTTTGCGAACTTTCAGCTCGATTCTCCATTTTCCGGACGAGTATACTTATACAGCGGCCGGTACACCCTCGATATCTCGATCATCCCCGAAATTCTGACAAGCAACGACAAACCAAGTGTTACTCGACCCTCGCGAGGCAGACGTCGTCAAAGATCGCACCTTTCGCTCTTTCAACTTTCGACTGAATTATTCGAGTGCCGACCGTTCACTTTTCAATTTCAACTTTTCACCAGTGCTACGCTGGAAACGACAACGAGGGAAAACGACGAAACCTTCTCACTGTCCGGTACAAACAGCTCGCTCTGTGAACTTACGCAACATTCTCTGAATTGTTTAGCATCTATGGGAGAGGTAAAGTTCAGTCCCCAGGTATCGTTTGTCATGGTATCTTTCCAGTAAACGAAGCATTCCGACGCTTGTCCGATACGCGTCCCTTAAACAGAACGAAACACCGACACATATACATATATTATCGCTTCCGTCGTAATTGGAACTTAGAATTTAGGACTCGTCTGCTTATTCCGCCGACTACGCGAGATATAAGTTACCAAGTCCGCAACGCTTACCTGGTTGAACCAGTCGCACGTCCAAAATTTTGTCGACTTGGCTATTGTACGCGGTAATATGGAAGACGCATTCCGGTGAATCTTGGATGCAAGTAATATTTACAGGAACTAAATCTTCCGAGACCTGCTGCCATTTCACAGTGCCGGCCCCGCTGGCGCTCACGTGAAACACTTCGGCCCACAACCTAAAAAACCTCGTTGCTCAATTGTTGAATATTGCGTAGTGTCAGTAGTGTGTCGCGAATTCGTACCTATTCGTAAAATAAGTCAATAGGTACTCGAAAAGAAAACAAAGGAATGGATCAACAAACGATATCAAATCAAAAGCACTCTCTCGCGAACGAGCAAATGTTCCAACGTCCTTTCACATTGAAATAATCAGCCTTCTCAAGTGCTGCTTATTTTCCTTCGTTTCATATCCTCGGCATTTCTCTGTTTATATACAATACATTGCAATCCATGATATCGTAATATTCTACCACAAAGGTGAATTGTATGATTCAGTGAAATAGAAGTGAAATAGAAGTGAAATAGAAGTGAAATAGAAGTGAAATAGAAGAATAAGAATGAGTCGATACAACGAAAGAAATGATGCGTTACATTCTTCTTTTCCGATCAATCTAGTAAGTACTTGGTTCCATGCGTTTCTCAAGCCATCAACCAATGCGTAATGTCTTACGGAGTCGTGCGCGCGTGTACGCTTGTCGCTCGTGTCTCGTATGCTCGTATGCTCGTATGCTCGTATGCTCGTATGCTCGTGTGCTCGTATGCTCGTGTGCTCGTATGCTTGTGTGCTTGTGTGCTTGTGTGCTTGTGTGCTTGTGTGCTTGTATGCGTGATGCGTGTGCACGCGCGTGCGTTCAATTTCGTGTGCAAGTAAAGCTCGTAGCAGACAATACATTCCATATATTATTATATCCTGTACATACATGTACCGTGCGATATTGTAAGACACACGTTCGCTGTTCTTCAAATTTTTACACAAGTACGTACGTAAGATGATGCGTGCGCAATTATACAAGTACGCCAATCAGTATCATGTAAATGAAAGCATGCATCTGTTCTATGGTACACTTATATCGGATACACCACAGTACAGTGCTGAAACATTGCATCACACAACCATGTGATCAAAACGCGAATCGTTAGGACCATGTGACAAAGAAATGTATTAAAAAACATGCGTGAACAAGGGGCGCATGTTAAAAATTTCAACTAAATACATTGCCACATTGATTATACGTTGTACGATATCTGTATTATTAGCGGCGATACACTCGAAACAAAACTAAAGTCGAATTGCTTTCTCAACAGGTAACCGTCAGCCGACTTTCGAATATATACAACAATCGGTCAGAGGTGTAACAATAATCTACAAATTTTGAACGCTCGCTAATCTCTGTCAGTTTTCTCATAAACGCCAAGAAGAACGCCATTTCAATGTAGGTGCAATTATTATAGCAAAACAGACTGAAAATATTTCAGAAAATTTCTTCAAAGATCCATTGTGGTTTCACATTCGTATTCAAATGAATATTAAGTTTAAACGACTAGCAAGACGATAAAGAAACAGAGAAAGACCAGAAATTGATAAAATAGGAAAGATTGCGTTCTGAAATAAAGTCAGAATAGAGAGAAAGGAAGAGAAAGTGACTTAGCCAAACGCGCAGA